GCCCGCTGCGCTCCCTCCCCCGCTTTCGCACCTGAGCCGCCCGTCCCGCCTGCCTGCAGGTAGAGGCGCCCCTGGGCGCCCGCTCTGCCCCAGGAGACGTCCCCTTCCCTCGTCTTGGGGCCCGCCTGCCTGCTCCCCAGCTTTGCTGAGATCCCCCGTCATTCACACACTGTTTTCCGTGTCCCCAGAAGGTGCACCCCAGCTTGGGCTCTTCACCTCTCTTCCACCTTATTCCAGTTTTGGCTCCATTTAATAAACTGCCCATTTCCCCTGGCCTGCGGTCCCCTCGGCCAGGATCAGGTGCTTCAGTGGGTCCCCGTGCCCTTCCGGGGCCCATTCCACAGATCCCACCCCCTCACTCTCCACCCCATCCCCCCCTCTGTGCCTTGACCCTGGGCACCGCGGCCTCTCGGCGCACTGAGGGCCCTGCGGGAGCGCGGGGATTGGGCTGGGAAGGAGATTGGGCACCTGGTGGGTGACGGGAGCGTTACGGAAACTCCCTCTTTGTTGCCAGTGTAACAGGAGGAAGAGGTGCCGAATTTAGTTTTTCTGTGGGCACTGGCTGGATGTTGTCGCTGAGGGCTGAGATGCAGACATTTCTCCCAGCTGCCACCCTGCCCCCATTCAAATTTCGCTAGCCGCCTTCTCCCTTTCCGATCAGAGCCTCTAACCTGGGTGGAAATGTTTGGACAACTGTGTAAGGATCAGATGTAATAGAACTTGACTGCTGGCCACTAATAACTGAGAGGACCTGTTTGTAAATTACCTAATTTAGTGGATTAGTGAGTGTATTTACAAATACGATAAAAAGCAATCAGGAATACTGCATTAAACTGTCTGGTGGTGGTGTATGAAAAATAGGCTCTGACAACGCCTGGGATGCTTCTCCACAGTTTCATTAGCGTAGAATTTAACAGTAGTCTGATTTGTTTGTTTTTTTTCTTTGGGTGTGTGTGGGGGGGTGCGTTTGCTTGTAGAAATAAAGGCTGGCTGGTTTTTGGCATAGAAAAAACGCTAGTTTGGGGGGAAAATTCCTCTAGGGATGTAGCGTCTGTGACACAGAAGTGTTTGCTGCTAAGTGACTATATATAACTCAGTTTTAAATAACCTGCATACTTGTTCTGAAAAATCTGAGATCTGTCACAGAAACGACTAGAATTAAGAGAAGGACGTTGATGGCTTATTAGGCATTCATCCTGTTTGTCCAGTTCTTAGGCTGAGTCGTTTAGTTAAGTAGTTAAACCTTCCTATTCAGTTAGGGTAGCAAAGAAAAGCCTTGTGTCTGGTGTTAAGGAAGGCTGGATCAGGGCTCTCGGATTAGCACATAGAGGTGTGGAGAAACATACCTTTCGACCGGTTAGGAATTTAGGGGCAGGGGGCACATCTATTAATAATTATGCATTGTTCATCTAATATTTAAATATAGTTTTCAAAAAAAGATTTTTTTTCACATTGCCTTTTTTCTGGAATAGGCTTGCTGTGCATGCTCATTTGGTGGGGAAATGCCTTTAAGACAGGAAAGTATTGATAGTTTATGGGTGGCTTGTTCAGTGCATGAAAGATAATTTGGGAGGGACAGGTTCTGCGCCAGAACTCCACTTAAAATGGGTAATGGTCATGTGGTTGTCTTGCTGTGGGTTGTAGTGGTGGTGGTGCAGAATGCAGACACATACCTTCTCTTCCTCTTTCCTCCTCCCAGAGGCACTGTTTTCTGCGTGCCACGTTCTCCAGACAAGATTCCTGTCTGAGGGGATTCATTTTTTACCACCTTGGGGATTTCTGTAGCCAATCAGCAGTTGTTAACATGCCTTTGACTTCAGCTTTAGAGACTTAAAGTGTTCAGTGGAGCACGAGGGCAGGTTTTTTTGTACAGGGACTTGTCATCATGTTCTTTCTTCTCATTTTAGGATTTTTGGGCATCATTCTTCATATATGAAGTGTTCTCAATCTGGCTTTTTAACACTCAGCTCAGACACATCAGGCATTTGGGATGCTCTTGTATTTAGTGTGTTGTGTTGAGATAAAATGGGCACAACTTTAAATGTTCTCTAGACGCAGTACTGCACATTACTGAGCTGATTTTAAGGGTCATGAATATATTTTTAGGCAGACTATGTTTGGTTCTGCTTTCTGTTGGGAATTTCTTGAGTGTAGAAACTGCTTTTGTTTTCCTAGCTTTCTAGTTACTACAGTGTCTTACTGTACAGAGTAACTCAGCTGTGGCTATTGAATGGAGTGCATACTCACATTTGAACATTTGGCCAGCAAGTCACGGATTATGAACTCCCAGCCCTGACCAGTGTCATTTCCATGGTTTGGTGATCTAACCCCACCAGACTATCTTCTGCTGAACTCAAACCCCAACTTTTGTTAAAGTTTACCTCCCTCTCTCACATTTATTACTGTTCTATCAATAACACCACTTGTAAAGTGGAGGAAGTTTTTCCCTTTTCTCCTGACACCTGACTCAGTGTGTTTTTCTTTTAGTTGGTGCAGCGACTGTAACATCTTAAGGCTTGCCTACAAGCTCTGATGACACCCTGTATATAGTCTATCACAATGTCCTACTTAGAGGATCACCAGTAACTTTGAAGCTAGACTTTATTAGTGTATGTAAAGTACGTTTTATTTTCTTGCTGGGGTTGGGTGTTGAAGTATAATTTATTTCCCCTCCTCATCTCTTTGTTGTAGATGCTTATAAAAGAGTTTATGGTCTTCTGACCTTTGATCTCTGTAGTTCTGATGCTGTTGTATCCCTTTGCCATATCTGGGTATCATAATTTCCTCTCAAAATAATTGTCCTGCTTTAAGAATGAAATTTAAAATGTCATATTCTTTGATGGTATTTCACAGCTAAGGGAGTAAATTATAAAATAGTATGTACAGTAATAGGTACATATATGCACATTATACATATATATTTAATATGCATATATTAATATGTAATAGGTACATATTAACACAGCTCTTGCAGAACTTTTGGGTGATTTTTCTCTGCCTTAATTAGTAACTATTCTGCATAGTTGGAAATTGCTCTAAACAAGTCAGTGCATGATACCCTTTGCCTGTAAGTCTGTTTGAAGGAAGCATCAAAGATAATGTGGAGTTTCTTTTTACAACACTACTTCTCCCTAAGACTCTTACAGTTTGTTCCCATCTCTCCAGAATTCATTGCTGCTGTAACCTGAGTTAGTTCCTATTCTTGTAATGTTAAACTTCAAAGTTCACTTGTAAATCTTCAAATTTATTAAATGTCCTTTCCCATTGACAAGCCAGTGTAAATGAGGGGAGTGTGTGAAAGATTGCTTAGCAACTTTCTGTAAGCCTTTGTCGCTAATGGATGGATCATTATTTCTGACAGCAGTGCTTTGGATGCGAGGGATTTCTCAAGCCTCTAACCTCAGAACTGGAAAGAAAGGAGGAGTTTTCTCTGCTTCATGGGCCTCACTTTAGAAGACCCTTGGGCACCGTCTTGTCCCAAGCCCTTTAAATTGAGGGTGACAC